GCAGGACAGGGCTTCTGACACGCTAGCCTTTTTGCCTTTAATCACAGGGTTTAATTTAAGGTGACCAGATTTTAACATTGGTAAAGCGGGACACCATTGATAAAACTCATATCCTGGCAAAATAGCCACATGGCAGCCGAAAACCAGATACCCTAGCTTGTCATGCATTCTTTCTAAAAATCGGGATTTTTTTAAAAAACACCGCAGGACGCGGGAAAAACTGTTAAAAATCAGGACTGTCCCGCCAAAAGCGGGGCGTCTGGTCACCTTCATTTAATTTCAAATAACGTTTGAAAGGGGCAGGAGATGTGTAAAGATTCCTCTTTCTCCCCATTCCTAGGTAACTCTGTTTCGTAGGCCAACAGCACAGATAGCACATGAGCTCACAACCATGTGTAACGTGGAACTAGGGGATATGTGTATAACGTAGCTATCTGCTTTTCCTTTATGTGAACTTTGTTTCTTTTTGATATCAATTTGAATTTAAAAAACATATCCATGAATGACGATTCCTAGTGTGCAAGTCAGCCTGTCTGAGAGCTTGGCCTGTCTTCTCCAGCTTGTCCGGACACAGGTCAGCACAAAGGGAGTTGGGGTTTACAAGCGCATGTTGATCCATTCAGTGCCCTGCGCAGGCTGGGGGGTGGGGGTGGGGATGCCTATCTAGGTAGACTGACATCATATTTGTGAGCTTAATAAATAAATCAATGACAAAAAAAATCAGGGGCTCTCTTGAGCCTCAGTGTAGACAGAACCTGGGACCCGAGATTAATCCTTCAAAAAGATACATAGCCTCTCTACTGCTCACTTTGAGCTGAGCCTGGTCCCCCCGGTACCTGCGCTTCCCAACCAGTGTTCAAGCCAAGCTTGATTCCCTCAGAAGAAAGCCTACGTGTCATCTAGCCGTGTTATTGGAACGGTGTGATTGCCTCCATCATTCATTCATCGCTTTTAACCGTGGGTAGAGGTCTTGGCTGCTTCTGGTCATGTTCTGGTCTTACCAACTAGACAGGCCTGTGAGGATATGGAGCTGGGCGTCAAGCTCAGGCTCGGACATTGGTGAGCAAGAAGAGCACCACGTGAGTCAGGGGGACGTGGCCTCTGGAAGGTCCTCACACCAAGCACTGTTTAAATTCCGCTTCAACATTCCCAGTACACATCCACAGGCGCCCACAGTTGGCACAAAGATAGGTTGTCTTCCTATCGAGTGGAAAGGATGCCACCATGGGATGTTCCCATAACCCCCTCAGGGGAACAGCATGCGTCTTTTCTACATCAGAAGAAAATGCGCCGACCGGGGTGGAGGACCATCGAGGTTTGGTTTGCTTCAATTGCTCTTCCCTAGTTACACAAGGCTTGTTTATTCCTTCTTTCTTTTAGAATTAGAGCAGGGAGAGCTCCTTCCAAAAACGTTGGTTTTTCTCAGACTTAGCCACTTAAGACTATGAGTGATGAATCATCTGCGAAGGTGAACTGATCTTTGAAACATGATCTTTCAGGTACTAGAGAGAGGGCCATTTCAGATGGCCGACCCTGGAAGAGTTCAGTTGAGCTCTTTCTTAGGTGAGCTCAGCCAAGACTCCATCTTCCCCTGAGCCAAGAACCCTTGCCCACGCAGGGCACTCCTCAGCCAAGTACCTCTGCCAGAATCCAGCTTTCTCCAGGTCCATGTGGCCCCATGTAAACCCCCCTGTCCTTTAGTTTGTGACGTTCAAGGTGGTCCCTCTGGTTATAAAACTTGCAGTCTCAGGGTCAAGAAGCTGAAACCGTTACTTTGGCACAAGCGTCTCAAAGGGAGCTGTGGCAGGAGGCGCTGTTTCAAGGCCCGAGTCCCCGCTGGCCTACAGTTGTGGGAAGACACTCTATCCATTGCTGCAAGCTCTTTGTGGCTCTCCGTGGAGGTCACTCACCACTGTTCTCTGACGCACAGCCTTCAGAGTCCTGGTAGAGAAGGCCAGCGTCCCTCCTGCAGTGTCCCCTAGCAGAAAGGGACTAGCGGTGAGGACAGCTTCACACTGACAGAGGCTGAGGAGTGGGCCCGGAGATGCGCCCATCCTCAATCCACCAGTCTGAACTCAACTCGGGAGCCCAGCCAAGGACTGGGTATCCCATGGGCTCCTGGGCCTCACCACCATAGTCAACCCTTGGGAGGTGGTTTTCAACTTAACTGACTTTGATGATGAACTCAAGGTTAGCTAGGAAACCATGTTTTTGTTTCACCTCCTGTTGACGGAAGTCATCCTGTGAAGCTTGGGTGCACGTTCCCTTTTCCGTGTCTGGGTGTACCTCGCTCTGCCCCACTGTGCAGACCCCGGCTTTTCACAGACAAGGTTGGTGGCAGGGCTGCATCAAGCACGCCTTCTGACATCATCTCCCCAGCAGCGGGTGCCCGCTTCACCATGGTCATTGTCCCCGGATTTCAGACTCCGCCTTACTGTCACTGCATGCGCCTGAGAGACGACAACCTTGTGTCAACAACACTCTTGCACGGAGCAACCAGAAACTGCATGTGGCCTGCTTTATTGCAAGAGTCTGGGACCAAACCCACACCGTCTCCAAGGTGTGCCTGCAATGATAAATGAAACGTGGAATATTGTCAGTAAAATACCGCTCGGGTCTAGAGCCCTCAGTGCGTCCTCCACAAAGGTGGCTTCTTTTGTTTTTCTATTATATGGATGCTGAAGACAAGGCAGGAAACATCCCCGATGAGAGATGTTTGTGTTCTTTTCTCCATTCTCCCTGAAAACAGCTTGTAGAAGACTTCTGTGGTAGATATATCATCGTTTGTCAATTTGAAGATTAAGAGTGAAGGGGTGGAGTCTAGCCTGTCAATCAGGTCATAGCCAATGAGGCCTCTGTGTGGGCATGGCCTTCTCCTAAGGATTCTGGGAAATCCGGTACTTTCTCTTTGGAGGCCGGAGACACGTCTCTCTCTCTGGACACACCCTGCTAAACATAGCAGCTGACAAGACCCATGGACCCACCCTGATGCAGAGACCCCTGCCAGCACTGAGATGTTTCCAATGCCACTGGATCCAAAGACGTTCTACCCACTGCCCTGTGATCTTCTACATTCGGCATCATTGCATGTGTTGTGTGAGTCTGAAGAAGACTTTATAGATTGGCGTCAGACATATGGGCTAATATCGGACTTAGGGACTTGATCTGGACTGGGCTGGGATGTTTTCTCAATACCCAGTTGCTCTTATCTATAAAGCTCTTTCTTATACACATCTGAGTGTCTCCGTGAACTTGTTTCGCTAGTCTACCCAGACTAACTCAACTTCCATCTAATTGAAGGTTAGGAGTTCTCCGGATGTGACGCTTACTGCTTTCCACCGTGAAAAACATGACGGGGAGAGCGAGTTTTGTTCATCAGCCACGGTTTCAGTCAGCTTCCCTCTTGGCAGTCGGGACAAGCAAGACACTGAGGCCCCGTGTCTCCTGGGACGACAAAGAATGTCATCGTGCTTGCTTTACTGCAAAGGTCAGCAGTTTGAAACCACCAGCCACCCTGGTGTTCTACTCACAGGAAGTCTCTGAATCCCACAGGGCAGTTGGACCCTGTCCCGTAGGGTGGCCGTGAGCCAGGATGGACTTGCTGTGGCAGGGAGCCCGGCTTTGGTTTGGGGGGTTGGTGTGTTTGGTGACTTCGTGGTCACACACTCCGCCGCTCACTGCAAGGTCGGCAGCTCGAGCCCCTCCAGGGGTCCGTGCGACAAAGAGCTCCCTATGGCGCTTCGGTAAAGATGGTGGCCCAACAGGGCCCTGCGACTCTGTCGTGTGTGCTTGCTCAGAGTCAGAACCCACTCTCTGGCACATGGCAGCAACAACAGGAGTGGATGCAGTGGAGACAACAGAAAAATCATGGAAACATGGAATGAAAAGATCCTGGAGTTTTTCCATGAACTTTTTGAAGCTCCCTGCTATTGCATCCGTGCATATCAGTGTCTGGTGTACCAGTGTGTTTTGAGGAATGTCTGATCCCACTGTCTGTATCCCATAAGGGACCCTGGTGATGTGGTGGTTAGTGGTCTGATGCTGAACCAAAGGACACCGAAAGGAACCCACCAGCTGCCCCACAGGAGAAAGCTGTGGCCATCTGCTTCATCGCCCTTCCAAAGCCAACCCAACGCAGCCCACCGCCGCCAAGTTGATTCCAATTCATAGTTGCCCGATAGAGACTTTCCACGGCAGTAAGTCTTTACAGGAGCAAATGGCCTTGCCTTTCTCTGGAGGAGCGACTGGTGGGTTTGAAGTGGCAACCTCGTGGTTAGCAGGTTAGCACTTCCCCTGGGCTGCTGCCAGCGCTCCTCTCCATAAAGAACGCCGTCCTGGAAACCCCGTGGGGGCAGCTCTTCCCTGTCCTGCAGGGTCCCTCTGGGTCAGAATTGACTTGATGGCAGTGAATTGTAATAGGAACATCTCCATCCGTGTGTGTGTGTGTGTGTGTGTGTGTGTGTGTTATGGAAACTGGCATATGCTCTAAGTTTGCTATAATGTCTGTCATGCTCCGAACGCCTTTACGATCCCCCTGATTTAGGGGGCAGGAAAGGCCTCTCTCACTGTCTGTTCCCCATAGCTTTTCACTCAGACTATAAATTAGGCCCGGAAAGGCTATAATGAGCCAGTAATTTATAGACTATTACAATACTTAGTTAGAACTGAATTTTTGAGCGTGTCGAATAGAGAACACATGTTTACAAAGGACAAACAGATTCAACACAATATCTCTTGGGCCTAACCAAGCCCAATCAATTAACAAACTGGGATGTCTCATTTTGAATATCTCCCACTCCCCTAAAATAGACTCACTAACCACTTGTTAACCACACTGACTTTGTAATAGACAGAGTGGTTGGTCTCGCTGTGCCACCAGAAGTGTTCGGATCAAGCACCCTGTTAGGCCGTAGCCAGCAGAGCCCACCAAACAGGAAGAGAGCCTGGCCGCCTTCTCTTGCCTCCTTCCCCTGTTTGCTTGATGTGCTAATTCACTGCAGATTTCTTCCTTGACAGAGCGCCTACCGCAGAAATGGGATGGCTTTCCTGGCCTGCTGAGGTGGCGGCGACAGTGACAATGGGAAGAGGCGACGTTCAGGTGATTCTTTCTCCCCTCCTGGGACAAAACGAGCCCCAGCTCACCTGCTCCGCAGCCCAGGCAGGGCCCAGTTTGTTGTGACTCTGGCTCCCTTCCGACCCCCTCAGCCTTTCACCCTGTAGAGCGGCCGTTTAGCTAATTAATGGCAGGATGTGTGTGTAGGTGGACAAGAACGCAGATCACATAATTTTGAAATTTTAACTTGGAAAAAAGGATTAACTGCCGTCAGCTCGCATATCTTGAAAGCGGTGTTTAGTCCCCCTTATGGTTTAGTCCGTTTCAGTCCTTACATTTTGTAATCCAGGTGCGGGGCCAAAGAAGCAAAGTGAAAAGGACCACTTCTGTCTCCCATCACCCCACCAAGTGTACTTCTGGCGGTTGGTGACCGTGTACCTGTCCAAGGGACATTTAAAACGTGTCTGGGAAACCCCACTGCCTTTTAAATTCCATCCGTCCGCGGACTCTTTGAAGCTCCCTCGTTTTCTAGAGCGAATTATCTGTCTTGGAAACCCACCCATCAAGACCTGATGGTTCTCTCTCCTTTGTCCCATCTGATGGGCTGCTCCCCGCAAGGTCCCCAGTTCCAAACCACCTGCTACTCCAAGGGGGCGAAATGAGACTCTGTACCCTTAAAGACTTACGGCCTCAGCTACCCCAGGTGCAGTTTTACTCTAACTGTTGTTGTCCTACTTCTAGGACAGGTATAATTTTTCAGTGCTGCTTCTCAGCTTCTTGCATAGCTGCCTAGCCAGGTATGGTTTTGCTCACATCCAGTGTTTTCCTCCCTCCTCTCCCAGTCCCTCCATCCCCAGGCCCTCCGCCCCCACCCCACGCCCCTGAGAAGGCGCAGCATGAGCATCAGTGAAAGAAGGGAAGTGTCAGACTGGCAAGGCAGCCTGGGTCATTTCCTGGTTTGCTCCTGAGCCACCCGTCAGCCATCTCCACTCTCTACCACCTGAGGGGCTGTCACTCGCCAACAAACCAATGTGCCGCAGGTGCGATCGTACAGCTTCTGACCCAAGGCCAGTGGCCGAAATAAAGGGATGTTGTTGCTTTAATTTGACAGGAGTTTTGTGCCACACTGTTTTGATCATGGTTTTGTGCCCAGTGAAGCAGCTGTAGTAAGGATTAATAAAGACAGAAGTGAGAAACATGAAGGATGTCTTCTTGTGACCCAATCGATTGGAAGCCCCCCTTAAGATGACTGTGCCACACTGTTCACATTGGTCACCTGTCACTTACCTGTGCTCTGTTGGTCCTTCTGGGGGCAAGTGGCCAGCCCGGAACAAAACGACGCGGATAGAAAACATCAAGAAATTGCCAAACAGTTTTGTTGTTCCATCTGTGCTTGTTGAAATGTATGATTAAACTTCGCTTTTTATTGTACTTCTTATTTTTCTTGGCGTCCTCAATCATGGAAGATTATAAGCTTGCAGTACACATCTCAGCTTGAGGCAGCATTTCTTGTTTGGTTTCGATCTGCCAGGCCTATAGACGTAATAAAGTTTTCTGGGGTTACATCGAAATGTCTTCTCTCCCACGTCGTGAATGTTACGGCCTTCACAAAGCAGAAATGTAAGCCTTCGTTTCCACTCGCCTCATTTCCTTCTACCTGATCCCCTTGTAGTCCCGAAGAAGGAAGACTCAACGCACATTTCTCTTGGAAATATGACAGGTCTGTGTTTTTGTTGGTCTGGCGTATGTTTGCCTATCTTGAGCAGTCTGGCAGGTAATTATTTATAAAATCGGGTTTTGCCCAGTAAGCTGAAGGTAAAGTGATTGGGCTGAAGGTGTCCAGACCCCATAACAACCTTTCACTTTTCATCATCAGCCAGGGAGCCGAATTCCGAAAAAAACAAGCTCATTTATGTCTGTCCTGAACCAGCCTGGATATCCCATAATTGCTCAATATTAATATTTTTAATTCTTCCTCCTCTCCCCACCCCCCTCCTTTCTCTCCAGTTGGCTTCTTTTTCTGACTCCATAACATTGAATTTTAAGTGAAATGACATTTACTTAAACAGCGAACATAGAGAGAAATGTTTAGGAGACATTTTTTTTTTTTTTAAAGTGACCAGTGAATGGCTCTCTCAAGATCAAATGCTGTGTGGAGTCATCTAATGTTAGGCCAGTAGAGGGGCTTAGTGATCATTTACTACAAAGACTCACTTTGCCGATGTTTAAAGTGGTCAGAAACAAGGAAAGGGACTTTCCTGGGATCGCCCACTCGGAAGAGGGCACCAGGGCCCTGCTTCCCAGTGGGGGCTTCCACGCTAGCACACGGGATTTGCTTAAGAATCTTACCGACCGAGGCCAGAGGTTTGTGGTGTGTTTTTCCTAGACAATAACCCAAATTTATAAAAATGGCACCCATTACAGACACATCCTCAAGCATGTGTTATTCATTAAAGTCTTGTTCAACCGGACTATGCTGCTAATTAAATGTATTCTCCGATACATCAGGCTCAATGCTAAATCAAATGTGACTGCACAAAGCTGTCTTGGGAGACTGTAAAGCACAAGTAACTGTGGAGCCTCGCTCACAATAATACTGCCCCCTGGATCCGATGCAAAGATGGCGAGGCTTCAGCCCACGTTCTGTGGACATGTGGTCAGGAGCGACCATCCCTGGAGAAGGCCATCATGCTCGGTAACGTGGAGGGGTCAGTGGAAGAGAGGAGGGCCCTCGTGGACAAGATGGCTTGACACAGTGGCTGCAGCAAGCCACTCAAACACCAGTGGTGATGACGGTACCGGCTGGGCAGCGTTTCTTCCTGTTGTACGTAGGGTCACTGTGACGCAGAACCTACTCGGTGGCACCTAGCAACAATGAACGGATCAGAGGGAGGAGCCCTAGTGCCGTAGTGGGTTACACATTGGGCTATTAACCGCAAAGGTGGCTGTTGGAAACCACCAGCCGGCTCTGAGGGAGAAAGGGGGGTGGTGGTTCTGTTCCCATAAGATTTAGAGTCTCAGAAACCCACCGGGGCAGTTCTGCTCTGCCCTGTGGGGCTCACGGAGAGCCAGAAGTGATTTGATGGCAGTGCACTTGGCTTGGTTTTTACTGGCGATTCATGGCGATTTTAATTGGCGATTTATTGATGGGCAGGGATTGGCCCCTTCACCTAGACTTCTGAATGTGCCGCTTTGAGTCTATTCTTCATCAGTAAGCTTCCTCCTTGCACATCATCATGGTTGAGGTGCAATCACCGTGTTCCAATCTTAGTGCCAAGGGTTTTTCTTGGAAACCATCAGAAACACAAATGTTTTTGTTTTTCCCTAAATGGTGTGTATCATTCCCGATTCTGGGAGGGACTGCACATTTTATTACTATTACTACACATTACTACACATTATTACTGGTTCTTTTTTATATATACAAACTAATAAACCATCCACAAATAATGCTTTTACCACATAGGAGACAAACATAACTGATCATTCTTGGTCTGGGAGGAAAAAAGTTTACTTGTCTAGAAATTATAACCTTTTCTCGCTCTGGAGCACATGTTCTCTCGTCCGACTTCACGGAATTTAGATAGAACCTTCCCAGGTCGCACTTAAAATTCTGCCATCAAGCATGTATACATCTCATAAAATAATTTACAGTTTTCTGTATGCCCTGGCTGAACATTTCATAGTGCGTAAACACTTCTGCAAATAATATGAGGGCATCACGTTGACTGGGTCCCAGCAGTGGCCCTCACATAAAGCGAATTCCCCTGCAGTGTCTGCTCTTAGGTTTTGTCTTCGCATTTGAAACCCAAGACAAAGCACCAGGAGCTGTCGCTGCACAGGGGCGGTGGGACAGGGCACCCCGGCCACGTCGGAGGAGTTGTGTTCATTAAAGCAGAGACTTTCTGCAGAGGGCACCAAGCCAAGCTTAAACAACAGAATCATGCCTGCAGGAACTGGATGTAAATGTGATGGTTAAATAAGGGCCAGATGCCTTCAAGAACTCAAATATTAAAAAATCCACTCTGAAAGCAAATCCGCAGCGGCGTTGCGAGCTGTGTAGTGCTCGCTGGGCAAGAGGAGACAAAGAAAGAGGCGGCCGGCATTGGTTTGGCGGCGCAAATATTCGAGCTGCCGTAAGTCATGGGGAAATGTTGGCCGCGGGAGCATATTTTGAAACCATCAATTCTGACCGAGTAAGGAGAAACCCACATACAGTACTTCATTGTTGGGAACCCACTGTAGTTCTGTATAGAGCATTATGTCCCTGATCCTTCGGCTGCTCATCACCACCCAATCACCACCATTTGCATTTTATCAAAGGAAGGCAAAAAATAGAAAAGGGGGCTGGGGCAAGACTTGCGGGAGCAAAGCAAGAACCGAGATGATCAAAACACAGCTTCACTTAGACTGGGGAGCGTTTTATTGGCTGCCCCAAATGATGATGGAGTGTGTTGTGCTACTAAGCTTGACATGATGCCAAGGCTGTGAGCTGAGCGCGTTGTTGTGATTTCCCCTCTGTGCCGCCCTGTGAGACACCGTCTTCCGCCCCAGCGTCCACAGCCAGGAGACAGGAGGCTGAAAGGCATGAAGTACCAAGTACCCTATGGAAACTCATCCCCGGTGGAGCCAGTGTGTGTGCCCAGCGCTTGGACCCCAGAGCTCCTGGGTCTACCCGCCTGGTTTTGTAGGAGAGCAAATGATTCCCAGCCACGTATTGAAGAGAGGCACTTCTCAGTCCCCAGATCACTGAATTCGCCACCTTTTGTTGTTTTCCTAACAAAATTAGATTGCTGGTTTCATGGACAGCCGGTGGGACCCCCACGCCTGTGACTGTTCCAGAAAAGCTCACTGCCGAGGAGTCGAGACCGCTCACAGCCACCCGACAGGACAGGGTAAAACTGTCCCTGTGGGTTTCCAAGACGGGAGTAGAAAGTCTCGTCTTTCTCCCTCAGCGAGGCCTGGTGGTGGTTTCGAACTGCTGACCTTGGGGTGAGCAGCCCCACAGGCAACACCGACCCCACAGCCTTTCAGCTTAGAACTGCGCCCCGCCCCTCCCCGCCCCGCAGACCGCCTCATAACCAACCCCTGGAACGCAAGCCTGTGACATGTACCCAGGGGGCCGTGAGGATGGCCCTTCTGCGACATTCCACAGGGCGAAGCTCCAGAGGCCAGGAGGGGACAGGAGCGCTGGCCAGGTGGAAGTAGGGACGTGGGGCAGACGCGGGGAGCGTGCTTTCACGCCGCACTCACCCCAGCCGGCGCCACGAAGCAAGCTGTACGCACCCCGTGGGAACTCCTCGACGACAACATGAGAGAATGGACAAAAAGTCAACCTTCCGTTTTTGATAAATGCAAACGAGCACAAGCCAGCACGTGCCGCTCCTATCTCAAAAAAAGTGGGGTGGGGGAGAATGCTTCATTTTCACCTCAACATTCCTACTCTAGTATATATCATAAAACAGCATATGAATTATGCCAAGTGCTGTCCGCTGTCTTAAACCTTAAGATAAAAGGACCCGGGATTAACGTGCCTACCAGACTGGGGGAAAGCTTCCTCCAAGATCTATGCGCACAAAGCCTGTCTGTCTGTCCTGAGGAGTTTTCCCAGAAGGCTCTAAGTACACCGGCTACTGTTCAGTCCTGCCGTACAATGTGTTCATCCCGTTATGAAACGCTCCCCTACTTGTCCACCGTGTGTGCAGTGGCAGGTGGAGAAGTGCCCGTGGAGATGCCCTGAAACTTCACACAACTGCCCCTTTTAAACGTTTGCTCATTCATCCAGGCCGGGCCCAGTTGCCCCTGGTCCAGGACGCCTGCTTATGTGTGGAGAGAAGGGGACCGAGATAACGGAGAACGTGGAAAGAACGCTGCTGAGCAGCAGTCCAATAAGAAATGGTGGTTTTCTTCTCTCATCGGTCGTTAGGACTAAGTCATCCACTAGCCTGTACCTCCCAGGACAAGTCATTTTGTGATGTGTGCCCTTGAAGTGCCCAAATAGCAGTACGCCAGCCTCGGAACCCACAGCTTTCTTTCCTGAGTGGCAGCATCATACATCTTCCAACCACGTCCCAGGAAGGAGTGAATTTACCTGCCGGTGCACCCACCACTGCCCCCCACCCCCTCCTTGATCTTTCTGCGCCCATCAGCCTAAGGAACAGCTGGTGGGTTGCCTGTCCCACTCTCATAGATTGTACCTGTCGTGAGCACCAAGGGGCTCCTGGCCCAGCCATGGTACTTTGAATCGCCTCATGCACATGTGCATGTTGGACACTGAATAAGGAAGACCGTGGGAGAATGGACAGAGTTGACCAGTGGTGCTGGCGAAGAGGACTGAAAGTACCGTGAACTTCCGAAAGGACAACCGTGTGTCTTGGAAGAAGTACAGCCAGAGCGCTCCTTGTGGCAAGGACAGGAAGACGACATCGCAC